CTTACTGACATAAATGAACATTTGCACGATATTCTAATTTTTCGAGTTTCACCTGTACATTAATTCTGTTTATAATATTGTATTACAAGATTTCATATCATACAATGCTATTTTTCCTTCCCGTTTAATTCAGGAGAGAATCTGGGGTTTTGGGAAGCTTGTGAAGATTTGAAGTATGGAGATCAATCCAAAGTGAAAGAAAAAGCAGAAGAAATTTACAAGTGAGCATATTATAGTTTGAAATATTTCTAGTGTCTTTTCTTGTTCTGTTTAGTTCCATTTCTGTATTCTGTGATTAAGCAGTGAAAGGAATGGTCATGTGAATACATTCTAAGAATATAATCATATCATACCATACTGGAAATAAAGTACTGTATCCAACAGTAGAATCCAACATTATCAGACTAGTATTCAGAATTCTACCCTGTGGCTTATTTATTTTATTTGATTTTTATGCCACCTTTATTTTTGGTCAACCAGCCGTAGAGTGTGAAACTTTTTCATTGAAGAAGTCTAGACTATATCCTAAGTGAAATGTCAGCTGGAGCTGGTGAAAATACTCTCAAAGATTCCAGTGGGTAGTTGTTATCTTTAGTAATATTAATTCTGCACATTATTAGTTATTAGCGTAATATTTGAGAGATGTGAAACTGAGGCAATATCAGTTCATGTTTAAAAAGCAAAAAAAAAAAGGGCATTTTGTTGATAGGAAAAAAAATCTCCCTGATTTTATTAAATATTTCTCCTCTTTATAATTTTAAATTCCAGAACTTTCTTGGCACCAGGAGCAAGACGTTGGATTAACATTGATAGCACCACTATGGGTATTACAGTCAGAGGTCTCAAAAACCCTCACCGTTATGTCTTAGATGCTGCACAGACTCATATTTATATGCTCATGAAAAAGGTTGGTCATTTTGCTTTTCAATTTGGATTTCTGTTCCAAATCAAATACCAGTCATCTAGGTATTTTGGGGGGAAAAACCAATATTAACACATATATACACACAGACACAGATATGGAAAGATATCTCTTCCTTGTTGCTCCGAACAGAACGCACTCAAACAGCTCTTTATAAGGAAAGAGAATTTGGGATTGACTCCACATGATTTTGATCATACAAAATGAATGACTTTCATACCAGAATAAGTTTTTTAAGAGTCAGGAACTGAGATGTCCTGGGCATTGAAGTGGACAAGATCCTTATGTCTGTTAGTCCAGCCACCTGTTTGTTAGATCCTGGCCCCTCCTGTGTCATTAAAGCAACTGGGGGGCTGAACACAGGGTGGATTCATGCAGTGGTTTCATGTGGTACGCCCCCTGCTCAAGAGGTCATCTGTGGACCCTTCCCTGTTGGAGAATTATTGGCCAGTTTCCAATCTCCCCTTTCTGGGGAAGGTTGAGGAAAAGTTGGTTGGATGACAGCTAGAGAGGATCTTGGAGGAAACAGATTATCTGGACACGTTTCAGTCTGGCTTCAAGCCAGGGTACAGTGCAGAGACAGCGTTGGTCGCACTTGCTGATGACCTTTGGCAGAGCCGAGATGTGGGTGGTGCATCTATCCTTGTGCTCCTTGATCTCTCAGCGGCTTTCGATACTGTCAGCCACAGTATCCTTCTGGACTGGTTGCAGGGTTTAGGTGTGGGAGGCATTATGCTCCAGTGGTTCACCTCCTTCCTCAGTGGCCAGTTCCAGTTGGAGATGGTGGGGGAGAGATTGCATCTGAGGCCCCTCATGTGTGAGGTGCTTCAGGGCTCAATACGCTCCCCTCTCCTGTTCAGCTACATGAAATCACTGGGTGAGGTCATCTGTCAGTTCAGGATGTGGTATTATCAGTGTGCTGATGATACCCAGCTCTACATGTGGAATCCTTGGGGTTCTCTGAGCTTGGTTGTTTTCTTGCAGACGTTTTGTTATCCATCTAAGTAACATCTTGAGTGCTAGAAGAGTAATGAAATATCTGTAAGAAAACAACTAAGCTCAGAGAACCCTAAGGACTCCACAGTTTGACCCTGAGCTACATATATTCTCTTCTATTGGCACCAGCTCTACTTGTCAACCCCGAGGGGCACAGGTGAAGCTGTCAATGTCTTGATCTAGTGTCTGGATGCTGTTTGGGTCTGGATAGGGCAGAACAGACTTTGGCTTAATCCTAACAAGACTGAGTGGCTGTGGGTATGGCTGTTTGGACCCCCTAGGTTGGGGACATCACCATCCTTGGTCTTGGATGGGGCTGTACTTTCCCAGTCAAGATTTGGGGATCCTTCTGGACTTGCAGCTACTGCTCGAAGAGCAGGTGGCAGCTGTGGCCGGGAGAGCCTTTGCACAGGTACATCTTGTGTGCCAGTTGTGCCCTTTCCTCAATTGGGAGACCCTTCAGACAGTCACTCATCCCCTGGTCACCTCACATTTGGATTATTGCAATATGCTCAATATGTGGCTGTCCTTGAAGACCACCCGAAGCTACAGCTGGTTCAAAATGCAGCACTGCAAGCAGTAATGGGCGCCTCTCCGTGTGCCCATGTGTCACCATTGCTACGCGAGCTGCATTGGCTGCCAGTTTGCTTCCAAGTGCAATTCAAGGTGCTGGTTATTACTATAAAGCCTTGTATGGCATAGGGCCTGGATACCTGAGAGACCATTTATTTCCAATCATTTCTGTCCACCCTGCATTCCAGCAGAGTGGGTGCACTCCAGGTCCCC